GTCATATCTGTTGTGCTGGAACAACTGGATGTGTCATAATTACAGTCTGTTGTGTCAACAATAAAAAGCAACCCACGCTAGTTCATCAGACAGTAACCTGCTGTGGATCAGCGACTGCCACACTAGTACCTGGGCCACCCCCTGTAGCAGACAACCCTCTTAGCAGGCACTGTCACGGGATGGGTAGACAGCTGCTGGCAGGAAGCAGGACAGATGCTCCAAAACAAGCCATTGCCTTCATGATCCACAAGTTCTGTTCTCATGTTCTAAACATGTTTTTCACATACAGAATGTCAATGATGTGCAGTGACTGCAGCTACACTCTATGTATTGGGGGGTGCACCTCAGTCACCTGCTGAATGTGGTGTTATGTACCATGTCAGTGTTTTGTGGGGCTCTGATGCCTTATGGGTATCATCTCTCTCTGAATTTAGCCATGTCAAAGAAGGGATGCATTGAATGAATGCACTGGTACTAGGATTGAGGGAATTTCTGAACCTTGTAGGAACAAGCAATCTTTAGTTGTGCAAAATCCAACAGGATCACTAAGGACTAAAAAGCATTTGTAATATACAATCTGTTTAGTATCCTTACAGCCTGAAGAGCTGTTAACTTTTTTCCTGATTTTTCACATCAGGCTCACTCTGATCTGGAATGTTGATCAGTAAAACCACCAGTGAAGTATCATACCTGTTGCATGCCCTTTTGAGTTTTCTATAACATGTAGTCTCAGAATGCATCCTGAAATGGACGGTTTAGTTCCCATTTCCCATAGCAGCTGTCATTCTAGAATACTCGGCCTTCACTATGGTGGCAATACGAAGTTGCCACTCTGTCATGCTTACCAACTGTTTTGCAGACAATGTAGAAGTACAAGATTTAGAAATCGCAGGACCTGTTTCAAGTTTTAACACTAAAAATTAAAACCCATAATGTAACTAAGCCAAATGAACCACCTGCTTTCACTGAAAGAGAGGGGGGTTATTTATTCCTCTTCTACTCTCATACGAAGAAAGAATTAATCAAAACAATTAGGTCAGTTTAGCTATTTGCAGTAATATTCAAGGAATTTACAAGCAAGATTCATGATAGAAGATTACTAAATAATGCCAAGCTTGAGTCAAGAGTGCCTCCTTGCAACGCTGCCTACTGATCAGAAAGTTTAGCATGTGGGAAGGCAGGGATACCACCAATATTATTCCCCATAGGAAAAAAACAGTTTTCTCTATAGATGTCTGTAAAGATTCAGACCGAATTTTAACATATTGCTTATGTGCATTGAATAAGATTGATCCTAGTTGAACACTATTGTTATTGTCTATCACATAGAACAGACATGAAAATATCATTCACATTTATGGAGCACAAATATAGTACCCGAGACTATTCTTCTACTTGGATTTTCATTCAACTGAAAAATTTTCATCTTTTCATTGAAACATATTTGCCTGATTCTGTATATTTGGTGTCATCTTTCAATGTCTCAGCAAAAAAAATGTCCTTAAGACTGCGCAAAGACATCTCTGATTCCACCTTGCCCTCCTGAGGTAATTTCAGTTACAGTATTGACAGATTTCAGTTGAACATTAGAATGCTAAAGAATAATATTTTATATTTCCAATTCTCCTGTTTTCTCAATTTAGGACAGATTGGGTTTTTTCTGTCATGTACACAGAAGTGGAAGTACTTTCGTATCATAATCAGTTCCTCTCAGTTGTTAAAGTATAAACCAGTACTAGTAGTACTAGAAAATTTCTGTGTCAAGCAGTAAAAGTCTTGAAAATACTGAATTTTCAACATCATACATAAGCAGTTCTGTACTTGATTTGACTATAGTCGTTGCCACAGCAAAATATGGATACTATATATCCTTTCTTTGCCTCGTCCATGTGGACGAACAACTAAGTTAGCCCATCTACTTGATCAAATGGCCAATTTCCTATGTGAACAGAATCAATACACATGCAAAACAAACACTTGTTCTCATATTTGTGACTTGCAGCCTCAAAACATTGGTCCTTAGTATGATCACCATCATTCTTAAACTATTTTTGTCTTAATTTTTGGTAATGACTTTTTTTTTTAAAAAATGGGTTTCAAATTCTATACAGAAATACTAGTTTCTTAGTCAAAGGTAAATAAAACTGAGTTAGACATACAGACCTTCTAAAATCAATGTTACATTATCACTGTTTACGTATTTATACACAGTCTCTGTCAAAGACATCAAAAAGTGTTTTCATATAGCTTGACAAATTAAAAGCAGAAACGTTTTCAAGGGAATGAGAAAATTGAAGACAGGTATTATGTGCTCTGACTTTTATAACAAAGGGCAAATATCTGTGACACAGTAAAGAAGATGTAACATTTAATAAACACATGAATATGAGAAAACTAAAATAATTGTTATATGTCCTAAATTTGACAGGATTAGTCTGTTTTCAAGACCAGTGTTAGAAGTAGAATTAAAACCAAACCAAGAAATCTCCATATGGTTTGAAGTGATTGAATATGCAGTTGCTTTGCAGTTTGTCTTCAAGGGTTGATACGTGTCTTGCTTAGAATTTAATTCTGTGTTACCATGTGGTTTTGCTTTTCCACGCGTATTTTTCTGGCATTAGTAGTTTTTCCATTTTTCAGGATCTGGCAATTAACAACAAAAAAAGAAGAGATAATAGAGTTGATATTCATATATGCTATTTGAAATCCTCGGGTAACACCTAGGAACAAATGCTACTCTTTTTCTCTAGACTGGTTTAGGAGACAGGACTACAAAATCCCAAAGTAATAGGGTTGTCTAGTCATATTTCAAAAAGGAAAAGAACAGAATAAAAGGAAACAAACAAAGAAAAAGTTAGTTTTAAGATTTCAGACGAGGAAACAATTCATTCTGCATAAAAATATCATTAGAAGAATCATATATTCCTGTATATACCCTGTCTAACATAGTAAAAAGATTGTCAAAGACACTGATGTCAAAATAAGATCAGTCATCTGTAAAGAAGCATTTACTATTGGTGGTGAATGAACAAATCTTTTGCAACTCATATTGGGGTACAGTTTGGAAGTCAAAATGGATTTTGCTTAGGAAGGGTACTTGAAAGCACTTGTTTTCATTTCAGCAAATATATAAGCATCTTAATCTTCAGCTTTGCAGAAGAGTTCGGAACAATATGCCCAGTTTTCATTTGTATGTCTTAGTGTATAGGCAGGGTAACTAATATAAAATATGTAAGACTGGACAGAAATAGAACTTTAAGAGTCACACTCAGGTATCTGTCTGATAAAGTATTTGTTTATGAAAAAAGCAATTTCAGTGTAATGGAAATACAGAAAAATTACAGGGGTTTTGATAGTACAAGATAATATAAATATAAACGCCAACAAAGTAGATTTGGAGAAAGCACTTTCATATTTCAGCAGAAATCCATGAAATGTATTTGAATAAAAGATCAGTCTTATCAGATAAATGTGCATTGCCCTAAATCTTTGTAGCTATTTTTATCTGTTATAGTAAATTCCATTATATCACATCCCACCCTTCTCTTATTATCACAAGTTGCCAAATTTGTTCCCTGTTCTTGACACAATGCAAAGTAAAATCTATTTGTCACAGCTAGTCAAGATCATAAAAAGATTCTTTCACAACTAAAAATTAATTAATTAAAATGATAGTTAAATAAAAATAAAATTATTGTAGAACCTACAAAAATTGGGGGGAGTATCCGCAACAGTGATACTTCACTTTTCTGCAATAATGACTATGAGATTGACATAATGACTCATGGAAGATTAAGGACTCTATGAATTACAGAAAAATTTTCATAAATAGAAAGAATGCATCTGCAAAGAGGATTTAGTATTATATTTAATACTTTGTACATTAACAAATATTTTTTAACCTGTCAATTTGAAAGGATATACTATTTTCTTCATTGTTAAAAAAGAGCTTGAAAACCTTTATTTCAATGTACAAATGTTTATCTCTGTATAAAACAATGTATAAAGTTATGTCAAAGGAAATTCAGCAGCACCTAAAAATGTAACCTGCAGAGAATTTTATACCTGACAAAGCAGAAAAAAATCCTTTTACACACTCATCAAGGCAACACAGTGAATAAAAAAGAAAGCACAAAACGTTATTTGTTTTAGGAAAAATGCCACATTCTGCAAACTAATAATGAATTGATTAATAAAACCTTGGAGGGATAATTTTCAAAGAAAAAATAATGAGAGGTGATGGAGAAATTATGAACAGGAATATGCTGCAAAGAGATACATAGGAAGAAGAGTTTTCAGGAATACTTATGAATATATCAAGGCAGAACAGCCTTTGGCCATGTAAGATGTCAGGAGATGCATTGAAAATTAGGGAAAGAAAGGTTGTCAGGTATCTTTTTAATTCTACAACATTTTTCAGATGGGGAAAATGGAGAATGAGTGGAGTGAAGGATTTGCAGTGTCTCTTTTTAAACATATAGCAAATACCACTCAGGGAAGGAACCATCTCAGACTCTCCGGAAATTACTAAAAATGTTCTGACTGGAACTGCTGAAATCTTAAGTGGATAAAGAATTTCATCCTGGGCAATCAGAAATTTGTATGTACTATACACCCCTGTTGACAAAACTCACAGACACACTGCAGTTGGTTAATACTTTGAGAGAATCTGTTAAAGGCACACAGGTATGAACTTAGAAAGCTAGAGAAATGTAATGGAAGAATAAGTCCACCATAGGCTTATGTAAGAAAAAAGCAATGTTTATATCAAAAGGATATATGTTAGAATAGAAAATAATGATAATAAATAAGACTAAATGATGATGCATATTTGAAGACAACATTGAGCCCTTTCAGTGTTTTCATGACGGTAGTAAGAGTAACACAGTTACCTTGGACTGCGAGGTTCACTTACCATTAGTATTGTAGGTGGAAGCTATGATTCCAGGGGAATTTTGGGCACTAACAGTGCAGTCTTGAGCAGTCTGAATTTAGCATCAATGTTGGCAGGTATGAAGGCTCTGATAATTGAGGGGAATAATACGCCACCAATTCTAAAGCAGAATGTAGGAGAGGTATTTGTAAGAGCAAAAAACTGTAATAAACTTGGACAAATGACTGCAGTACTGCGAGTGCCTTCTTAGGTAACTTGGGGTACCAGAAATATTATGCAAATCTTGCTCATTGACTCCCTCAATACGTGGAGCAGATGCTTGGTTAGCCATGGCAGAAAAAACTCCAGATATACAAATAAGCAGACAGCATTTCATTGCAAATGAAATGAAGGTGTGAAATCTTGCAGTTGTAGGTAGATCCTGTCACAAAGGGTGAGGGTGTACTGCTGCTAGCTGCTTTGCAAGGACATGAAGATTCTGCTATATGGTGCTCTTTCAGTGAAAGCAAGAAGGAAATAATCAGCTGGGTGATGGCTAACCCACTCTGTGTACAAGACAATAGTAGCGTTCGAAGAGGAAAATAGTATAGACAGTGACAAAAAGTGTGAGCTATGAAAGCTCCTCACTGTAAGAAAGAAAAGATACTGCATTTTTTGTTCAGAGATAAAAAGTAGAAATTTGTTTTTCATCTTGGAAAAGAGGTGGACAGGGTATAATTGGAAGAAATGCTGTTAATGTGAGAAATTTAACCTTTTTCTGTACTTATTTTTGGATAGGATACTTCAAGAAGAGCAACTATGAGTTGGCAGGCAGCATGTAAGACTCTTGAACTGTACTGTTTATGAGGACTCTATGTCTATGTTGCCTGGAGCCCTTAGGTTAGAAAGCTCTCCATCTTCCTGAAGATAAAGAGCTTTAAAAAAATCAAAACCTTTGAGTGGTATTAAGAATATTTTGAATATCAATATAATTTTGTAACCATGAGAATTAATTAGAGGGTAATTCCTGCCAGTTTTGGATGAAGCTTAGTGAAATTATATTGTCTCTTTTACTACTAAACTCCTGCTGGCTTTAGTGGAAATTGGTATACTGCAAAATTGGTAAAAAAACCCCACATTAATAGTATTATTATTTAAACACACTTTCAACAATCAGGATGAAAATAGACTAATTGTGAAAGCATCTATATCCATGTGTCCACTGAAAATCTGTTAGCTTACAGTGCAAAAATGTAGTTATTAGTTGAACTGCTTGAAAACACAAAGACTTTTTCCTTACATGTTTCCTTCCTTTGTGCTGTATATTTAAAAGTTGGCTTTAACTTGTAACAAGTTTTGTGTAGACCTTTCTATTGTATCATAATTAATCCAAATCATGAGAGTCTTCACAGTAACAAAATGAATAGAAAACTGATTCCTTTAAACTAGTCACTATATCAATGTTGCAGAAAATGCTATTATGATTGTGAAACACTCCTTAAAGAAATATCCAAAATATATGAGAGGCAGAACACGTGTTTTTTATAGCTGCCTCTTCCTATGTGCTCCAGTACCATCAGACATTGCTGGATAAATACATGAAAAAAAAAAAATGCCAGAAAATATTTTTCTCCGTGTTTTGCCAAGTGCATTTTCCTCAAAAAATGCAGCTATCATTTCTGTGAGTGCTCGCCTGATGTTTGCATGAAGTCCTTTTGCAGGTTCATTGCTTACCTGAATCAAAAGAAAAAAAAAAGACGATATACTTAAATTTGTTTTCTGTTTTTTACTGCAGTGCTGTGAAGCTAACAGCTGTAGTCTAGCAATGTAAACAATATTTTCTGAATGAAGTAGATTTATTTTCAATAGGATTTAGTGTTTAGTCAGATTAACATGCTGATTATACAACCAGTGAAATTAGAAATTTGTGAAATTTGAATATGGAAGAGATTTGGAGCAGGAAAAGAAATGGTCTTGCAGACATGAGTATAACCTTGCAACAAATTAGCTGAAAGTTGATTGAGAACAACCTATTGTAATTTAACTCTTTTGTCCAGCTGTTATAATATCCCATTATCAAATGTTGGTTCAGC